CACTGGCATGTTCCCTCCTGGCGGAATGACCTGCCCAACTCAGTCCGAGCAGCTGAGTCCTTATGCCATCTTCAGGAATCGGCTAAAAACACATCTCTTCCATCTTTATTTGACCCTCTAACGCTAGCACTCTCCATTCTAATTCTATTCTTCATAAAAAAAAATTTAAAAAACTTTCCCCTTTTAGACTTGCACTATTTCTTAAAAAAAAATAAAAAATAAAAAACTAACACTTGCTTCTCTAATCTTTTTGCATTTTCTATTTGTTTTCTTTTTATTTATTATTCAATTATAATTCTGACTTTCTGACTTCTGATTAACAAAAGCAAAAAAAAAGGCCTCTAACGCTTGCTCTATTATTTTTCTATTCTATGTTTTCTTTTTATTTATTATATGATTTAAAAAAAAAAACTTGCTACGTACTGCAATGTTAAAGCTGTGTTTTGTTGCTTAATTAACATTAATGACACAGAGGTATTTATAGGCTGCTGTCCCTTTAAGACCTGATGCACGGATCTAATAAAATGATACACATCCGATTTCTTTCTCAGCTGTTTACGTTCACTTAAGACATAACCAACTGCGTTTACCAGAATGATTGCCGAGATGGGTATTTTGACACAATTTTATGTGTATAGCCCTATTTGGACAGTAATTGTTTCTCAGGGGAACGTAAGGGATTTTCAACATTTACAGGGAGTAGTTGGTGATTTTATTGCCGTCTGAATCCAGAATGTCTGTGTTTTTCTCCGACCACCCGTGTAAAATACCCGGCCGGATTACCTACTGTGTTTTGACAAACACCAAGGTTGTATGGTGATTTAATTACCGTCCGAATCCACATCCTTGAGTTTACAAAAAGAAATCAATACAAAATTCATTGTTAAAATCTTTTTGTCCACTGCAGAGCACCGTATGATAGGTGTTGAGCTTCGCCGTAATTTGCACAAATTTTTTAAGATATAGCCTACATTTATTACGGAAATGTTGGAAAGTATTTAAGAACAATATTTAATCACCGCCTCACCACAGCGTCTGGAAGATGTTAAGAACAAAAATGAGAAATAAAGCACAATACATTTAAAATGGGCCTTTATTCTGGCAGCAACAGGTGTGCAACACCATTTTCAAATACGTAGCCTATTATATATTATTACATTAAAAATATAAACCAAGCAGCTTCATGCTTACTTCATGTAAATAAAAGGCTACATTATTATTTCCGCTAAATTCTCCATTTGACATCATTTGAGAGAACTGCAAGACAAACCATTCATCTAGCCCAGTGATCTTCACTATTTTTTTCACGAGAGCCGCACTTATAGGACAAAGTTAATAGGAGAGCCACTTTTACTGCAAAGTGTGAAAAGTTACATCCAGTCTTAAATAGCATGTCTGCTTCTCAATCTGTCATCCCTGAACATACAATATGCAATGCAATACAAGCGGGTTTATTTTTAAAAGTTATTTAAAGTTATTTTTTAAAGTTATTTATTTAAAATTATTTGCTTCTACATTAGCCCATCATGTATCAAACCATAAGAGCACATTCGGCGTTAAAGGCGCAATAGGAGATATTGGAAAATGCTAACTTTAGCCTGATAGCACTGAAAGCGAATGTCCCCACAGCGTCTGGAAGATGTTAAGAACAAAAATGAGAAATAAAGCACAATACATTTAAAATGGGCCTTTATTCTGGCAGCAACAGGTGTGCAACACCATTTTCAAATACGTAGCCTATTATATATTATTACATTAAAAATATAAACCAAGCAGCTTCATGCTTACTTCATGTAAATAAAAGGCTACATTATTATTTCCGCTAAATTCTCCATTTGACATCATTTGAGAGAACTGCAAGACAAACCATTCATCTAGCCCAGTGATCTTCACTATTTTTTTCACGAGAGCCGCACTTATAGGACAAAGTTAATAGGAGAGCCACTTTTACTGCAAAGTGTGAAAAGTTACATCCAGTCTTAAATAGCATGTCTGCTTCTCAATCTGTCATCCCTGAACATACAATATGCAATGCAATACAAGCGGGTTTATTTTTAAAAGTTATTTAAAGTTATTTTTTAAAGTTATTTATTTAAAATTATTTGCTTCTACATTAGCCCATCATGCATCAAACCATAAGAGCACATTCGGCGTTAAAGGCGCAATAGGAGATATTGGAAAATGCTAACTTTAGCCTGATAGCACTGAAAGCGAATGTCCCACCCTCCCCTGCAATCGCCATCCAAAGCCACGCCCCCTGAACGCATATACGCTCACTCACAGACCAGAGTACCAGAGACAACATTACTACAATAGGCTACATCAGCGGTTCCCAATTCCAGCCCATGTTCCGAAGTGAAGTAAACTTCAACGTATTTCCCCCGCTCAGTGAGGAGGGAGCAATGAACACTGTGTAGGGATCATATCGATCGGAACACAGTTCATGCACGTAGCTCACTTCTAACGAGCTGGTTATCT